TCTTGCACCGCCCGGCCCCTGCTGCCCAGCTGTCGACTGTGCTTGACTCTTGCTTGGGCCTTCGGCTCTGAAGGTCGATAACCCACCTCGCACGCATCCCGTCTTTGTGGGTTCCGCCCGTCGGTTGTACTTCACCGGCGCGCTACAGGGAACAGTGTGCGTATGGGTCTTTGCTCCCAGCGGTCGGCTATGCCAGTCTCTAAATGGAATTGTATGCTAGGCTTACGCTCCAACACAAAGTGTCCAATTTACATCGACTCGTGCTTGAACCGTCGTTTTGCACCCCATGCGTAGGTGTTAGCGCATATGTGTGCGTCGCCCCACTTGACCTTTGGACCGGGTGTTGCCCTTCCTTCTGCGTTGGTCAAGTTGTTGGCGCAGTATCATTGATCCTTGTCGGCCGCCCTTCCTCCGCATCATCGTCTCATCGCGCGGTCAATCCAAATCCTTCATCCTTATTCTCCCTTTCTCTTCATCATTCTCGTCGTTATCCTCGTCATGTGCTTTTTCCATCCTGATGTTGGTCATCCTCATCCTGCGTCGCTTACCGCCTGCGCCTCATCGTCGTATCATACTCGCTGTCCTCCGTCGCGTCTTCTACCTTCCCCCTCCTTCCGGAGGAAGGGATGACGAGGAGCGGGAGCAGGAGGAGGAGGAGGAGGAGGAGGAGGAGGAGCAGGATGAGGAGGAGGAGCAGGGTGAAGGGAAGAACACATTACCAGCTCCGTTGCTCAGTTGGCCAACGCAAAAAGTTGGGAAGGGCAGCAGATGCTGCTGCTGCTGGTGCTGCTGGCGAATCGGAGGAAGAGGAGGAGGAGGAACAGGGGGAGAAGGAGGAGGAGGAGGAGGAGGAGGAGGAGGAGGAGGAAGAGGGGGAGGAGGAGGAGGAGGAGGAGGAGGAGGAGGAGGAGGAGGAGAAGGAGGAGAAAGAAAAATAGGAGGAGGAGCAGGAGGAGGAGGACCAGTGCAAACCCAAGAGTCACCAACAATGTTGTAATAAACCCTCCCCACAAGCTCCCTCTTCGTAGGTCCCTACAGCGGTTCATTTCCACAGACGGACCTGCCTCGTTGGAAGATAGCCGTTTGAAGACCAAGAATCATGCCAAAACGTTATTCTCGGTATTCCAACGCCACGGATGAACCTGACTGTTGCGTCTCGACGATCCTGAATCGTGCCAGAATGCCATTACTGGGACCTCAACTCCGCGAATCATCGTAACAGTTGCGCCCTCATCATCGCCGTTCATGGGAATCCGTGAAACTCTTGCAAGTTGTTAGGATGAATGTGCGCGGCGCTAAGGCGAGAGCCACATGTTGAAAACCACCCGCCCTCAATCCGTGAAACTCTTGCAAATGTTCAAAACGAATGTGCGCGGCGCTAAGGCGAGAGCCACACTTGGAACGCGACCCGCCCTCAACCCGTGAAGCTCTGGCAAATGTTGAAAACAAATGTGCGCAGCGCTAAGGCGAAGGTCATATTCAGAAAAGGACCCGAACCTCAGTCCGTAAAACTCTTGCACATTGTGAAACGAGTGTGCGCGGCGCTAAGGCGAGAGCCACATTTTGAAAACGGCCCGCCCTCCATCTGTGAAGCTGTTGCCAACGTTTAAGCTTCAGGGTCAAAAGTCTCAGGCGAAACGCCCGGCCCGCCCTGAAAACTGGCCTCGGGGTATAATCTATAAGGAGAAGGAATGGAAGACGACGAGGAGGACGAGGAGAGGAGGAAGGAGGGAGGAGCAGGGACGAGGAGGAGGGATGAGCAGGAGGAGGAGGAGAGGGAGGAGGAGGAAGAGGAGGAGGCGGAGGAGGAGGGCGCCGAGAGGTGAGGGGTAGAGTCGAGGAGGAGAGGTAGAGGAGGAGGAAAGAGGCGGCGGAGGAGAGACGAGGAGGAGGAGGAGGGAGGAAGGAGGGAGGATGAGGGCAGGAGGGGGAGGGGGAGGGTGAGGGGGAGGAGAGGGGGAGGGGGAGAGGAGGGTAGAGGAGGGGAGGAGCTCTCCGTGCGCGCCCTCGCCCCGCCCCCCCCCCCCGAGTTTCGCCGGCCTCCTCCGGGCGATGCCCTCGTGCAGCGCCCGCCCGCCCCGCCCGATGGGCGCCCGCGCGCGCTCTCCCGCCCGTCTTCCCCCCCCCCTGCCCTCCCCCTTCCATCCTCCCTCCCCCTTCCTATCCTCCCTCCTCCCCTCACCTCCCTCCCACACCATCCCTCCTCCTCCTCCTCCTCCCTCCGCTCCTCCTCCTCCTCCTCCTCCTCCTCCTCTCCTGCTCCTCCTCCTCTCTCCTCCTCCTCCTCCTCCTCCTCCTCCTCCTCCTTCGCCCTCCTCCTCGCCCGCGCCGCGCCCCGCGCCCACGCAGCTCGCTCCAGTCCGGGGCCCGCGACGCCCAGGCCCCCTCCATGCTCCCTCCTCCTCCCTCCCTCGTCCTCCTCGCCCTCCCGCACGAGATGGACACTGCTCTCCTCCGAGGCGGGAATTTATCCATGTCCACCGCCTGGAGGGTCAGTTTTCGGAGCCTCGGCAGGCGGTGAATGTGGACATATTCGGGCCCCCCGGGGCCGAAACATATCCATACCCACCGCCCGCTGGGGCATCAGGACGTCGGTTCTCAGGCGGTGGATGTGGATAAATCCCCGCCTCGCATCTCCTCTCTCCCCTCGAAGACCCCGAGGTCGTAGCCTTCCACCCTCCGCGTATTGCTTTGCTTCCGCATCTGATGCCCAAAGATGATGGATCGCATGTGTGTGTTGTTGTTTTTCCATGCGGACGTTTTCGGTATTTCCCGGATGCCGCTCCCACTACAGCGCTGGTTCCATTTCCTGGCTTTCAGTCCTCCCAAATCTTACTCCCGCTGCAGCGCTGAACTAATTTCTTTGTTTAGGATATTCAAAATCATGCTCCCGCTGCAGCGTTGGCTCTCATTTTACGCTTCCGCTCTTTCCGAACAGTTCACTTACATGTCTCGCCTTGCATCATGTCTGGCTACCCTTCGAACATTTTACGCTCTACCGTGCTCTGCTACGCCGTGCTCTGAATCTCGTACCCTCTCGGGATCACTGCCCTGGTTGACATCCGACTGTGTGGATAGAGGACATCTACGCCGTGGTAAGGGACGGGAGGAGGGACGGGGCGTTAGATAAGACGCTTGCGCAACTAGCTTGTCCTTCTCCCCTCGTCCTTCTCCTCCCTTGTCCTCCTCCTCCTCCTCCTCCTCCTCCTCCTCCTCCTCCTCCTCATTGCTCCCTCCGCCTCCTCCTTCCTCTCATCACTCCTCCTCCCCTCCCTTCTCCCTCCTCTCCCTCCGCCTTCTCCTCCCTCCACTCTCCTCCTCCCTCCCTCCTCCTCCTCCTAATCCTTCTCCTTCTTCTCTCTCCTCCTCCTCCTCCTGCTTCTCCTCCTCCTCCTCATCATCATCCTTCCCATCCTCCTTCTCCTCGTCCTCTTCCTCCTCCCTCTCCTCCTCCTTCTCGTCTTCGTCCTCCTCCTGCTGCTCCTCATGCTGCTACCCCTCCTCCTCCTCTCCTCCTCTCTCCCTTTCACCCTCCTCCTCCCCTCCTACCTCCGCTCCTCCGCGCCCGCCGCTTCCTCCTCCCTCCTCCTCCTCCTCCTCCTCCTCCTCCTTCTCCTCCTCGCTCCTCAACCTCTTCCTCCGTATCTCTCATCCTCCTCTCCTCCTCCTCCATCCTCCTCCTCCTCCTCTTCCTCCTCCTCCTCCTGCCCCTCCCCCTCTTCCTTCCCCTTCCTGCCCCTCCCCCTCTTCCTTCCCCTTCCTCTTATGTGGTTCAAGTTTGCCCCCGCATTCCTTCCCCCCCGCGCCCGGGAACGCGCGCGCCGTGTCGGGTATCAGACAGCGGACTCACGCGTGGTCGATGCTCCCAGCACTGCGCAATATGACGGGATAGGCGCAGTGCCGCAGAGGCAATGGATGGGCAGGGGGCGGTACACAGGACGTCAGACGTGGTGCGATCGCGCCTAGCTTGCCCCTCCTCTCTCTCTTCCAGCTCTCCCTTCCCCTCCTACCCAATGCCGATTCCCTTCTCTCCCGGCCCCCTCTCGTCCGTTCCCTTCACTGTTCTCCCAGCTCTACCCAACCTCCTTCCCCCCATTCATGGCGCACCTCGCGTGCTCACCTCCTCTCTCCCAGCTCCCCCTTCCTCCCATTCCCCCCCTCCCCCTACTTCCCTTCCTTCCCCTCCCGCCCTCCTCCCAGCGCCCAGGCTTGACCCGATCTCCGCTGTGCCATCAATCAATCAATCAATCAAGCAATCAATCAATCAATCAATCCTACTCCATCTAATTCTCTTCACCTCTCCACTGGCATTGCCTTCTCACGATCTCTTTCATACGTTCTATACTCCTCTCTGCTAGCTTTCCCTTTGCCACCGCCCCTCCCTGATATCCGACGGCGCGACGACATTGAAACATCGCAGAGGTACGACCAGAGCCCTGGACGCCATCTTTCCGCGGCGGCTCCGCAGGCCGCATCGACCTGCGAGGGCCCCGGGGGACCCGACAAAACTGGGCGACGGCGCCGGGCTCGACAGCAACTGAAGCGCCAGGATCTCGTGGCCCTCCTCTCTCCCGCTTCCTCCTCCTCCTCCTCCTCTTGCTCCTCCTCCTCCTCCCTCCTCCTCCTCCTCCTCCCCCTCCTCCTCCTCCTCCTCCTCCTCCTCCCCCTCCTCCTCCTCTCCTACTCCTCTCTCCTCCATCCTCCCTCCTCCTCCTCCTTGCCTCCTCCTCCTCCTTCTCCTCTCTCCTCCTCCTCTCCTCCTCCTCCCTCCTCCTCCTCATCCTCCCCTCCTCCTCCTCCTCCTCCTTCCTCCTCCTCCTCCTCCTCCTCCTCCTCCTCCTCCTCCTTCCTCCTCCTCCTCCTCATCCTCCTCCGCCCTCCTCCTCCTCCTTCCTCCTGCCTCCTCCTCCTCCTCCTCCCCTCCTCCTCCTCCTCCTCCTCCTCTCTCCTCCTCCTCCTCCTCCTCCTCCTCCTCCTCCTCCTCCCCTGCCCCCCTCTGCAGCCGTTTTGGCTACAGGCGGGCCGCCCAGTCTCGGCGCTGGGAGGGGATGGTCCCCGCGGCGGGCCGCGCCCCCCTCGAGGCGCGAGGGGGCCTCTCTCCGAGCGTCGCCCGTCCGGCTCCTCCTCGACCCTCCTCGTGTTCGAGGTGCGCGGGGGCTCAAAGATCGAGAGATCGAGGATCTCGGTTTGAGGAGGAGGAGGAGGAGGAGGAGGAGGAGGAGGAGGAGGAGGAGGAGGAGGAGGAGAGGCCAGGAGGAGGGAGGAGGAGGAGGATGGAGGAGGAGGAGGAGGAGGAGGAGGAGGAGGAGGAGGGGAGGAGGAGGAGGAGGAGGAGGAGCAGAGGAGCAGAGGAGCAGAGGAGCAGAGGAGATCGAGATATCGAGGATCTCGGTCTTGGGGCGTTGGGTTCGCCCTGTTTTAGGGGGATCTCTTGGGAGCTGCCCGTCGCCACCCCGCTGGGCTCGCCTCGACACCTTGCCCAGAGGGCACCCCCCGCGAAGAGCACGCGTGGTCTTCCTGCCCCCCTCGCTCCCTCCCCGCTCCCTTCTCCTGCCCCTCGCCCCCACCTCGCTCCATCCTCCTGCTCCTCGCCCCCTCCACCTCGCCCCCTCCTCGCTGCCTTCTCCTCGCCCCCTCCTCGCTCCCTCCCTTGCTCCTCCCCGCCCCCTCTTCCTCGCCCCCTCCTTCGCCCCCTCCTCCTGCTCCTGCCCGCTCCCTCCTCCTCGCCCCCTCTTCGCTCCCTCCTCGCTCCCTCCTCCTCGCTCCCTCCCTGCTCCCTCCTCCTCGCTCCCTCCGCCTCGCTCCCTCCGCCTCGCTCCTCCCCCCTGTGGGCGATTCTTAAGGGGCCGCTGTCCCCCGAGGCATGGTAGCCGGCGGACCCCGCAGCCATCCCGAGCGCAGGCCGGCCCTTTCGGGGGGTGGGGGGGGGGAGGAAGGAGGCGGGCGGAGCAGGAGGGAGGGAGGAGGATACGGGGCAGAGGGGGGAGGGGAGGGAGGGATGAGGCGACGGAGGGAGGAGGAGGAGGAGGAGGAGGAGGAGGAGGAGGGGAGGAGGAGGGAGGAGGAGGAGGAGGAGGAGGAGGAGGAGGATATGAGTGATATGAGTGATATGAGTGATATGAGTGATATGAGTTGTGGGTGGCAACTGGAACCTCTGATTGAAGGTGGTGGCACGTGTGTGTCTTGAGATGGAGGTACGGGTCGCCCCCCCCCCTACGGCCGTCTTCGTTGGCCGAGGGACCGTAGGGGGGCGGCCTCGGCCCCTTCCGGTGCCTATTGTCGGCAAAATGGAAGGCTGACTGGTGGGAGCGGGAACCCCCGCAGCCCCGTTGATGGACGCTGCGAGGGGTGTGAGGCCTGATGACGGTCCTCACCGACGGTCCTCGTGGAGGGGAGGGGCGAGAGGGAGGGGGGTCATCCCGAGTGGCGATGCCGTCCGCGATGCCTCCCGCTCCCGAGTGACGATGCCGTCCGCGATGCCTCCCACTCCTGAGGCGGGATTCCGGCAAAGGGGGGCCCCAAACCAGCATGTAGAGTTTCGACTCCGAGGCTGGGTATCCTCCGCGCGATCCTTATCCCATGTTGCGGGATAGATGCTGGGGGGATGGGGCGGGGGGCACAGAATTGACATAGGTAGCCCCGCTGCGTTCTAGCCAGGGAGAGCTGGACCACAGCAGCAGGATCCAAACAGTGCAAGCACGGCCGAACCGAACCCCAGGAGAGCGCACCCGCAGCGCGGCACGAGCGCAATTGCCAACGCACCGCGCCACCGGGAGGAGGGGCCGCTGCGACGAAAAACGGCGGACGACACGTGGTGAGACGTCACCTGGCCGGACCTCGGTGGCCTGCAGGAGGCCCCCGCGACTCTGCGGAGGTCATTGGCAGGGTGTGGTGGCGCTGCCTTTGCCTGGTCCTCGGTGACCTGTCCGAGGCCCCCGGAGGCCTGCCGAGGTCACCCGCGGGGGCTCCCACGGCCCGGCGAGGATGCGGTGGAAGACACATGGACCGACCGCGCGGCCACGGTCACGGAGGGTCCTGAAGCGGGCGGGATCCTGAGAAGGGCCGCCTGAACCTGATCGCCTTGCCGGGTTTGGGGGCCCAGGAAAGCGGATAACGGGGGAGCCGAAGGGGGCAGGGGGAGGGCCGGAGCGGGGAAAGGGGGAGAACAAACACGACGGGGAAATGAGGGAGGAGGAGGAGGAGGAGGAGGAGGAGGAGGAAGAGGCAGAGGAGGATGTGGATGTGGATGAGGAGGAGAAATGGGATGAAGAGGAGGAGTGGGAGGAGGGCGAGGAGGAGGAGGATGAGGAGGACCAGTGCAAACCGAAGACATGGCAATGATGTTGTAATCCACACTTCCTCCAATTTTTTTCATGTGCCACTACAAACAAAAGTCAATGCGGGAAGTGGCCAAGGTGAAGACAACCGTCAGAGAAGTCTCAATCGGGCCAAACAACCATTCCTGGGATTTCCAAAGCCGCGAAGCACGCGACTGTTGCGTCCTGGCAACCCTAAGCGCGCCAGAGCACCATTCCTTGGATTCCAGCCATACGAATCCTTGTTGCTGCAATCTTTTACAACGAATATGCGCGACACTATGTCGAGAGCCACATGTCGGTCACCACCTTTCCTCCATCCTTCCAGCTGTTGCAAACTTTGAAGACGAATGTGCGCGGCACTGAGCGCTAAGGCGAGAGGCACATGTTGAAAACGAGTCGCCCCTCCAGTGAAACACTGGTGCGACGCTCCAGCTGCATAATTTTGAGTGATGACGAGGTCTCAGGCCAAAAGCCTGGCCCGCTCCGCCCTCACGTTTGGAGCGCGGAAGGGAGGAGCTATTGATCAGGAAAAAGGATGTGGTGGAGTTGGAGGAGGAGGAGGAGGAGGAAGAGAATGAGGATGAGAAGACGAAGCAGGATCAGGGGGGGTGGAGGAGGGGAGGCGGAAGAGGAGGAGGAGGCGAATGAAGATCGCATGTGCCCCACGCCCCCAGCGGCCATGGGGGACTTCTCCTTCGACTTTGAGCCGGACATTGACGCAAAGGACCACCCATCCCACCCTTGAGTCTGGCCATCATTCGCCCATCCCTTCCTCTCAGGAGGAGCAGAAAGTGGTGGAGAAGGTCGAGGAGAAGCAGGTAGATAAGGAGAACGACCAGGTGGAAAGGGGGGGAAGAATGGGGCTTGGGCGGGATGATAAGGAGGACAGACGGGAATGAGGACGGGGACGAGGAATACGAGGAGATGGATGAGGAGGGGTGGCAGCAGATGGGGATAGTGAAGGGGACGATGCAGTGGAGGAAAGGATGCGGCAGTAGCAGGCAGAGGAGGATGAGGATGGTAGATAGGAGCATGATGTGGAGGTGGTGAAAGAGGGGAATGTTTCGCATTCGTTCCCAATTCACCGAGCCCCTCCTCATTCCTCTCCTCCCTCTCCCACTCTCGCTTCTCCCAACTCCTCCCGCCCTCCCGCCCCCGCCCCTTGATTAAACTAGGACGTGCTGTTGGGCAGTAAGGACAGCACGGGTTTCCGCGGGATTTCGGCATGCACCCGTCTCACTCCGCCGCCGCAGGTTGCCAGCTCCACCCTCGCTTGCTTTCGGTGGCTCGTCCTCCTCGTTATCTTCCTCCTCCTCCGCCTCCTCCTCCGCCTCCTCTCCTCCTCCTCCTCCTCCTCCTCCTTCTCCTCCTCTTCTTCCTCCTCCTCCTCCTCCTCCTCAAAAATTGACTCAGGATGAAAAACCGGTCCCTGTGAAGGGGTCCAGACCTCGGGGGGGTCGACGTTGCGAAAAAAACCGTGGACAGCGAGCCGCTCGAGCGTCCTGTGGCACCACCCCAGGCGCGGTGGGCCCCCAAACAGCGAATGGTCAGGTTCCGTAGGGCTTGCAGCAGCGGCGGCAGTTGCGCCGAGGGTTCCTTGGGTCCACGCTGCGGTGTTGCCCTCAAGTTGATAGTGAGCTCTGCCCAGGCGATCTCATCCACCACCGTCGCCGCCGCCTCCTCCAGCGTCGCGGGCACCCACCATGTCGCCCAGGTGCATTAGGAGAGCACGCGGGCGCTCGAAGCCGCGGCCCGTGGTCGAGCGTCGATGTTGGACAGCGCCCTGCGGTCCCCAAGGCGAAGCAGGCTGGCGAGAGCGGGCTGCCCCAGTCGACTCCGCTTGCATGCACCATTTTGGCCAAGTCGCCCAGCCCCCACTACCCATCGGTCGTTGAAAGTAGGTATTTTTGGATTCCCAGATTCCAATCTACTTTCAGCGCCTTCCTACTTCCACCTCTTCCGTCCTCTTCAGGGGGCGAGCGGACACCCAATCTACTTCCAGCGCCTTCCTACTTCATGTTTCTACGTACTTCTTCCGACCGATGGGTAGAGATGCTTGGTCCCCGTGCCTAGCCACATAAGCGTCGGCTGGTGCAGCTCGCGAGAGCGCGTCGCCCACCCCCACCGGAGACGCCTGGCCCCCCACGCATTTGCCGCACGACCGCGGGCTGGTACAGCTTGAGTGAGCGCGCCGCAGTCCCCTCGAGGATTTCCCAAAGCGGCATAGTGTTGATCGAGCTGGCTGCGTTCGGCTGTCGCCGAAAGTCTGGGTGGCTCCTCGCCCCCGGGTCGCGTTTAAGGGGCCCTCAGCTGCTGTGTCTTCATCGGAAAAAAAGTGTTGATCGAGCTGGCGGCGCCAAATGTTAACCAAAAAGGTCTGCGGATGATGTTCATGTCGTTGCCGTGGCAGCCCTGTGTACGTTCTCGCGCCCGGTTTGCCGTCCACACGCGTGTTGGTGCGTCCCACAAGCTTGCAACAGCTGCCCTCGAAACACGTGGCACGCAGCTGTCGTTGCGATGCGCCGTAGCACATACCCGCACGCCACAGGTCGGACCCGGCCGCTAGAGCTCCGCAGTGCCAGTCGGCGCGCCCCAAGTTCGATTGACGAAGTTTGCCAAGCTCTCCCCGAGCAGGAGCATGATCTTCACCTCGCTGACGTAGTCGGCAGCATCACTGTCGGTCGCGGCCGTGGCCCAGTGCTTAACGTGGGACTCGTTGGGGCCAGGTCTTGGGCGCGACGGATAATAGCGTTTCAAGTTCCAGCGCACAGCGTCCTTCGAGGCTGCTCGCTTTTCTGAGGGCATCGGAGGTGCGGCGGGCAGCCCTTCTGACAAGGCAACCTGCGGAAAAAGGCGCCAAGGTCGGCCTGCACCTCAGGGTTAAGTGGGTCCTTTTGGAAGCCCATCTTAACATGCATGATGCACTTCCCGTGCACTCTTGTACAGGCTACCAAGGGGGCCGCTGAAGACCACCAACGGTTGCGAAAGGCCGCTGCAGGCCACTAGAGGCAGGCTGGCAGAAGGCGACCGAAGGCCACCAGAGGCCGCCAATGAAACACCAAGGCCGCGGAAGGCCACGAAAGGCTACCAAGCCGAAGCGGCATATGTTAGGATGAGCTTCCGAAAAGACGGACCGAATCTGGGGAAACCACAAAAGGTAATGGAGGATGACGATTAATAAATGACCGGGGGTCGTGTTCACGCGGCGGCGCCCACGATGACGATTAGAAAAAACAGGCCGCGGGTTGGACAACTATTTCTTTTAATCGTTCTCCTCCAGTCCGAAAGTTGTACAGAAATAGCAGGAAACTATTGTTTTAATAGTTTCCTCCCATGTTTTTATTAATCGTCATCCCGCATTACCGATACCGCTACTCCCCGGATCTCTCCCCGGGTGCGTTCTGACCAGGATTTCGAGGCGAAGCCAGCGGTGGCGACGAGGGCCTCCCAGGAGGCCCGAATTGGGGAAAACGGGCGAGGGGGTGGAGGTATGGGTATTTTTCCCTCCTCCGAGAATCAGGGCCATCCATCACGGCGCTCTGGCGGGGAGAACCCGTCGCGCGCCAGGGTGATGACGGAGCGGGCGTCCGCTGCCGAGGGTCTTCTGGTGTCGGGCTGTCGGGCGTGGGGCCGTCGTGGGCGGCCGCGGCTGCTGCTCGCCAGAGGCTGCCCTAGTTCCCCCTTGGTCCTCGCCCCTGCCCTCCTTCCCCCTCGTTCCCCTCGTGCTCCTCCGTCCTCCTGCTCCCTCGTCCGCCCCCCTGTCCTCCTTTCCCCTCCTGCTCCCTCGTTTTCCCCCCTGCCCTCCTTCCCCCTCCTCCTGCCCTCCTGCCCCCTCTTCGCCAGAGGCTGACTTGGAGGCCGCCCCCCTCCTCCCTCCCCTCCTTTCTCTTCGTCGGCCAGCCCAGGGGGAGGCGAGAGGAGGCGGTCCTTGGGGGAATGCTCCGAAGTCCTCTGGACTTCCGAGCAGTTTTCTGAGCCTTCCCCGAAGACGCAGACAACAAGTTACCAGAGGGCAGAAGGCTTCTGAGAAGCCCCACCGCCTTCTGAGAAGGCCTTCTTCTTTTTCTTCTTCTTCTCACTTCCCCCCTTCAATTGTCGCCGATCACTTCTCCCCCTTTGTTCTCCTCCTCCTCCTCCTCCCTCCTCCTCCTCCTCCTCCTCCTCCTCCCTCCTCCTCCTCCTCCTCCTCCTCCTCCTCCTCCTCCTCCTCCTCCTCCTCCTCCTCCTCCTCCTCCTCCTCCTCCTCCCTCGCCGATTGTTTCCCACCTGTGGCGGCATGCGGCAATTGCTCGTGAAGGTGCTCCGGGTCGGCCCCTGCGCCCTCCGGGTCAGAGGGCTTGCCCTTCCTTTCGATGCCACTGCATGGTGGCCGAGTCCATGGAACCCCCAGCGGGCGCACTTGGAGCCTCCTCCTCCTCCTCCTCCTCCTCCTCCTCCTCCTCCTCCTCCCTCCCCTCCCGAGAGGACGTCCTCAGGAAAACGAGCCTCAAGGAGACCGGCCACAGCTCCACCGATGGCTCTGCGGGGCGGGGCAAGCACACCACCGTGCGCGGGCCTTTCGGGGATCCCGGGGCCGCCTACCGGCTCCGGATCGACGGGAGGAGGAGGAGGAGGAGGAGGAGGAGGAGGAGGAGGAGGAGGAGGAAGGAGGAGGAGGAGGAGGAGGAGGGAGGAGGAGGAGGAGGAGGGAGGGGGAGGGGGAGGAGGGAGGAGGGAGGAGGGAGGAGGGAGGAGGGAGGAGGGGGGAGGGAGAGGAGGAGGAGGAGGGAGGAGGGAGGGGGAGGAGGAGGAGGGAGGAGGGAGGAGGGAGGAGGAGGAGGGAGGAGGAGGAGGGAGGAGGAGGAGGAGGAGGAGGAGGAGGGGAGGAGGTGGAGGAGGGGGGAGCAGGGAGAAGGGAGGAGGGAGGAGGGGGGAGGAGGAGGAAGTGGGGGATGGAGAAGTGAGGAGGGAGGAGGAAGGAGGGATACGGGAGGAGGGAGGAGGAGCAGGAGGAGGAGGAGGACGTGGAGGAGGAGGACGCGGACGACGAGGATGAGGAGAACCATTGGAAACCCAAGAGTCATCAACGATGTTGAAATATACTCTCCTTCCAAGCTCCCTTGCAATAGGGGATTACAACTGTTGATTCTCACTTAGGGAACTGCCTCGTTGGAAGACAACCGTTTGAAGACCCTGAAACTTGCCAAAACATGGTTCTCGGGACTCCAACACCACAGATGAACCTGATTGCTGCGTCTTGACGATCCTGAATCGCACCAGAACGCCATTCCTCGGACAACACCGCGAACAAACATAACCTTTGCACCCTCATAATCCTGAATCTCTCCTAAACATGATTTCTGGTACGCTGATCATGGGAGTCCGTGAAACTCTTGCAAACTTGAATAACGAATGCGCGCGGCGCTAAGGCGATAACCACATTTTGAAAAGGAGCCACCCTCAATCCGTGAAGCTCTTGCAAATTTTGGTCAAACGAATGTGCGCGGCGCTAAGGCGAGAGCCATATTTTGAAAACGACCCACCCTCAATCCGTGAAGCTCCTGCAATTTTGTTAAAAGAATGTGCGCGGAGCTAAGGCGGGAGCCACATTTTGTAAACCACCCGCCCTCAATCCGTGAAGCTCGGGCATCTTCGTTAAACGAATGTGCGCGGCGCTAAGGCGAGAGCCACATGTTGAAAACGGGCAGCCCTCAATCCTTGAAGCTGTTACAATTGTTTAATACGAATGTGCGCGGAGCTAAGGCGAGAGCCACATGTTGAAAACGACCCGCCCTCAATCCCTGAAACTGTTGCAAGTGATTAAATCGAATGTGCGCGGCTTCAAGGCGAGAGCCACATGTTGAAAACCACCCGCCCCCCATCGGTGAAACTGTTGTCAGAGTTTCAGCTTCAGGGTCATGAGTGGTAAGGAAGTCTCAGGCGAAACGCCCGGCCCGACCTAGAAACTGACCTCGGGGTGCGACAGGGAGAAGTTATTGATGAGGAAAATGAAATGAGGAGGAGGAGCAGGAGGAGGAGGAGCAGGAGGAGGAATGTGATATCAACAGGAAGAGGGCGACGGCGAAGATGAGGATAAGTTGTCAGAGAGGGGAGACCAAGCTGGGCGCGCTGGCGCCACGATTTGAGATCGCACCCCTCGCACCCATTCCGCTCCCACTTCTTCGCTCAATCATGTGCTATCCGCCGTCTGGGATCCCGAAGGACCTTGATCCCCCACACGGCACCATCATGCGATGTGCAATCAGAACTTGTGGTTTTGCACATTGGAGGAGCAGGAGGAGGAGGAGGAGGAGGAGGAGGAGGAGGAGGAGGAGAAGGAGAAGGAGAAGAAGGGGACGGATAAGCAGGATAATGGCCGAAGGAAGAGAAGGAGGAGGTGAATGAGGAAGAGAAGGTGAAGAAGGAAGAGGAGGAGGTGAGTGCACCACAAAACAGTACCAGGGGGAGAGATAAGAGCAATACTACTAGTTTGTGTGTGTGGCCACTTGGGTCGCATGGGTTCCGCACTCAACGCTTCTCTCTGTCGCTTCTCAACGTTCCTCCCTCCTGTTTCGTACCCCAGCGACGCCTCGAGAGGCGGCCTCAGGGGCATCAGGCTTGCGCCGTGTCGGCGTCCCTGATTGGTGTGATTGTGGAGGTGGGTGTGGAGGCAAGAGATGCTGGAGATGCTAAGGATGAGAGAGGAGACGAGGAGAGGGGGGGGAGGAGTAAGAGGACGATGTCGAGCAGGTCGAGGCGGAGGTGGAGTAGGGAGATGAGTAGGCGGAGAAGGAGGGAGAGGGTTCATGGATCAGGAGGAAGACCAGCATTGGAGGAGGGACGACGAAGAAGGAGAGAGGCGCAAACAGGTTGGGGGGCGGTGGAGGAGGAGGAGGAGGAGGAGGAGGAGGAGAGGAGGAGGTGGAGGAGGAAGTAGGGGAGGGAGGAGGGAGGAGGGAGGAGGGAGGAGGGAGGAGGGAGGGAGGGGAGGAGGAGGAGGAGGAGAGAGGAGAGGAGGAGGAGGAGGAGGAGGAGGAGGAGGAGGGAGGAGGAGAGGAGGAGGAGGAGGAGGAGGAGGAGGAGGAGGAGGAGGAGGAGGAGGAGGAGGAGGAGGAGGAGGAGGAGGAGGCGGCCAGGGCTGCCGATCTGGCCCTCCGTCAAGAGTGTACAAGAGTGTATTCCAACGCCTTGGATGGATGTACGGCCGGTTCGCTGACGATTCGGATCATACCTTGGGTCATCCCAGATCGGAGGGGCACTGCTGAGGTGCAGGCACTGGCTCAAGAGCCTGTGCATGAAGGGGGACAAGTGCGACTACCTGCACATATGGGACTCGAACAGGACTGGGGATGTGAAGGCGGTACCCACACCCCGTCCTCCCTCCTTCCTGCCCTCTTCCGGTCCCCCCCAACTCGCATTCCCCCTCCCCTCCTCCTGCGGCTCCTCTGGATCTTTTCCTCCTCCTTCGACTTAGCTCGCCCTCGGTGGTGCTCGCACGAGGTTGGTAGAACGCATTGCTTATTGGCTGCCTAGGTTTCCGCAGGAGGGGTCTGACTGACTGCCGAAGATGTTTCACCAGCGCCCCCACGAGGAAGCAAGCAACGTCCTGCTTCTGCGGGTGAGCGCCCGTGAGAACATACGGGGTTGGCGCGGAGGCGTTCGGAAGTGCAAGAGATGTCGCAAGTTCGAGCGACAGGTGTCGAAGCTGTCTCTGGCACAGTTCACAGTTCAGGCTACGTGCGGCACCTCAATATTCATGTGTGTGGGGAATGGTACTTGAGTGTATGTGATGTGTGTGCGTGTGCAGGTGTGTGTCCATTGTTCTGCTTATGCGGTAGGTGGTTAGTTTCGCTACCTAGCAAAATCTAGCCAGACTCGGCTTCTTCGAACTTTGCTTGCGCTACCTGATTGCGAGCGTGCTCTGGAAAGCACATGGTTTCAGGATGCTGTTGTGCTGCCAAGCTCCAGACGATGCAGATTCCCGGATAACCCAGCGCCGTCTCGTATGGGCGGATTTATGAGCCGTGTTGCGTGTTCCGCACGCTCTCATGGCGCTTTCGAGTTGTGCAGTCCGCAATGGTTTCATCGAGCTCTCCAGAGTAGGCTCAGTGTAGAACCTTCTCTCAGTACTCGTCGGTCGCTGAAAGTATGTATGTCTGGATTTCCAGATCCCAATCTACTTCAAGCGCCTTCCTACTTGGAGAACCGATCTAGTTTGAATGTGCGTTATTATTCTCTGGGAGGGCCTGAGCCCAATGTACTTCATCCACCTTCCTACCTCATGTTTTTGCCTACTTCTTCCGACCGACTTGTACCTTCGCACGGCGTTTTGCTCCCCCGAGCCCCCTCGTAGAGGCCCCTGTTGTCTTGGGAGCTGACCTCGCTCTGCCGTCTTCGGGCCGCCTGTATGGGCCTCGGGGTGTCAGTGCGCGTTTACGGGCCACCAAAGCACGCGCTGGGGCTGCCCAGGGGCCGGCGGCTAGGGCCCCTCCTCCTCGTCCTCTATTTCTTGCTCCTCCTCCTCCTCCTCCTCCTCCTCCTGCTCCTCCTCCTCCTCCTCCTCCTCCTCATCATCATCATCATCAACATCATCATCCGACCCCTCCTCCTCCTCTCCTCATCCTCCTCCTCCCTCCTCCTCCTCCTCCTCCTCCTCCCCCTCCTCCTCCTCCTCCCTCCTCCTCCTCCTCCTCCTCCTCCTCCTCTCCTCCTCCTCCTCCTCCTCCTCATACTCATCCTCCTCCTCCTCCTCCTCCTCCTCCTCCTCCTTATGCTCCTCCTCTCCACGCTCCTTGCTGGAACTGCCCCCAGAGCGCCCCTGGGAGCGCCCCGGGCCCCCCGGGCGTCCTGGGAAGGCCTCGGGGGCGCGCGGAGGGCGCCCTGGTGGGAGCGGGCAGCCTGGCACCAAAACGGCGGGGGGTGGGGGGGGTAAGGTTGATAAAACCGTGTGTGTGTACCACCTCGGTTTTTGGTCTATTACTTCTGATGTGCTTGCTTTCCTGTTGATTATGCTTTTCGTCATCTTTAAAGGGATTGCTCAAAGTAGTGAAATGCAGAACGATTCCTGTTGTAGCACATTTTAAAGTGAGTTCTTTTGTGGGTAATTAAAAGGGAATTCTGTTCATGGTGAATTGCAAATTGTTTCCTTTTGTGGCGGATTACAAAAGGATTCCTTTTGTGGAGGATTACAAAAGGATCCCTTTTGTGGAGGATTACAAAAGGATTCCCTTTGGTGGAGGAATACAGAGGGATTCCTTTTGTGGAGGATTACAAATTGATTTCCTTTGAGTGCTTTCCTGGAAGTGAACCAGGGGACAAAAGAAAAAAGAAAGAAAAACAAAAAAAACAGAAAATCATTGAAAATTAAGAAAATTACAGGTTTTCAATGATTTTCCAACGCTTTGAAGCAAAAACATATAAAAAACACAGCATTTTCACAATCCGAATGCAAAAATGCTGTGTTTTCATATGGTTTCGGCTTCAAAACCTTGGAAATACTGTGTTTTTTATATGTTTTTGCTTCAAAATATTGGAAATTCATTGAAAACGTGTAATTCTTTCAATTTTCAAAGATTTTTTTTTTTGTTTTTTTTTTTTTTGTTCTTTTGTCCCCTGGTTCACTTCCAGGAGAGCCCTCAAAGGAAATCAATGTGTAATCCTCTACAAAGGAATCCCATTGTATTCCTCCACCAAGGGGAATCCCTTTGTAATCCTCCACGAAAGAGATCCTTGTGTAATTCACCACAGAAGGATTCCCTTTTGTAATTCGCCACAAAAAGGAATCATCATGTGATCCTCCACAAAAGAAGTCCTTTTGTAATTCTCCACAAAAGGAATCCTTTTGTAATCTGCCACAAAATAAAACAATGTGTAGTTCACCACAAAAGGATTCCCTTTTGTAATTCAACAACAAAAGAAATCAATGTGTAATCCGCTAGTGTTTGTTTCGGGCCTCCGGAGGCCGGAGAATCGAGATATTAAGGCTTATTAGTATCTCTGGAACGCGCTTCGGCGCTCACCCACTGGAAGTAAGAGGGGCGAGGGGGAAGAGACGGAGGTAGAGGCGGAGGAGGAGGAGGAAGAAGGGTAAAGAGAGGATAACTTTAGTCTGGTGGGCTGTGTTTCCCACTCGATTATGCTCTGTGGAACTCATTATGACAACGCATTGCTCCCAACGCATCTCGTCATCACCATCATCATCAGCAACATCTTGAAACGCATGCTCGTCATCACCATCGTCATCAGCAGAATCTTGAAACACATACTCATCATCATGATCGTCATCAGCAGCATCTTGAAACACATGCTCGTCGTTACCATCGTCATGGGCAGCATCTTGAGACACATACTCGTCATCATCATCATCATCGTCATCAGCAGCATCTTGAAACACATGCTGGTCAGCACCATCGTCATCAGCAGCATCTTGAAACACATGCTCGTCAACACCATCGTCATCAGCAGCATCTTGAAACACATGCTCGTCATCACCATCGTCATCAGCAGCGCATTGAAACACATGCTCGTCACCACCATCATCATCAGCAACATCTTGAAACACATGCTCATCATCATCATCATCATCATCATCATCGTCAGCAGCATCTTGAAACACATGCTCGTCATCATCATCATCGTCATCACAAAATACACCCACCTCTCATATAATCGTACTACAGATGGATCCACTTCCGAGAGAATCGTATCACAGATGGATCCACTTTCCATAGAATCCGATTAGGAATGGGTCCACCCCTGATAAGATCCCACTACAGATGGAACCACCTTTAATATAATCCTATGACATATGGATCCGCCTCTAATAGAATCCCATTAGAGATGGGTCCACAACTAATGGCATCACATCAGAGATGGATCCACCTCGAATGGAATCCTGGTATGGATGGATCCACCTCTAATAGAATCCTTTTACACATAAGCCCACGTCTGATATAACCCCATTACATATGCGTCCACCTCGAATATAATTCTATTAAGGATGGATACACCTCTGATAAAATCAAATTAGACATGGATACACCTCTAATGGACTCCAATTACATATGGATCCACCTCTAATAGAATCCGAATAAGATGGTTCCATCCCCAATGGCATGCTATTAGAGATTGGTCCACCTCTAACAGAATCCTGTGACAAATGGATCCACCTCGAATGGGACCTTATTAAGGATGGACCCACCTCTAGTAGTATCTGATTAGAGATGGATCTAATGGAATCCGAGTGCGGATGGATCCATCTCTAGCAGAACCCTATGATGGACCCACCTCTAATATAATCCTATTACATATGGGTCCATCTCTGAGAGAATCCTATTCGGGATGGGTCCACCTACCTCTGATGGGGTCCTACATGACATGAATCCACCTCTAATAGAATACTAGTACATATGGATCTACCTCTAATAAGATCGTAATACAAACGGGTCCACCCCCAATTCAATCCTACCAGAATCCTGATACAGATGGGTCCACCTCTAATGGAATCCAATTACAGATGGATCCACATCTACTAGAATCCTGGTACTGATGGATCCATCTCTAATGGAATCCGACTACAGCTGGATCCACACTTGATGGAATCCTATGAAAATGGGCCCATCTCAACTGAAAGTCTATTTCAGATCGATCCGCTCCAAATGGAATCCTAACAGAGATGGGTCCACCTTTTAATAGAATCCTGCTACACATGGATTCACCTCTAACAAAATCCTATTACATATGGGTCCACCTCTAATGGGATATTATTAGAGATGGGTCCACCTATAATGGGATCCGATTAGACATGGATTCACGTGTAATGGAATCCCATATGAGATGGATCCACCTCTAGTGGGGTCCTATTAGCGATGGATCCACCTCTAAGATCATCCCATTCCAGATATTTCCACCTCTAATAGAATCCGATGAGAGATGGATCCACCTCTCATAGAATCCTAGAGGCGATTGACCCACCATTTACACCCCCTCCCTACAGAAGGTTTTCTTTTGTGGCGGATTACGAATTGATTCCTTTTGTGGCAAAGTATACAGTGATTCCTTTTGTGTCTGATTACAAATAGATCCCTTTTGTGGCGAATTACAAATCAATTGTGTTTGTGGCGGGTTTCAAATTGATTCCTTTTGTGGCGGATTTGAAATGGATTGCTTTTGTGGCGGATTACAAATTGATTACAAGGATGATGATGCTGGTGATGGCGATGCAACGCAGCAAAACGAGGTGGGACGCACACGCGGTTTTATCAACTCCGCGGGGGGGGGGGGGGGGGCACGGGCGGGGTGGGTGGGGATGCAGCCTGCGAGCGGCGGTGGCTACGGGCTGG